AGCAGGTCCCAGCGGACATATCTGAAGAGCTCTTATGGATGTTTAGCTGTTGCCACTCGAAGCAAAAGGAAGAGTGTATTGTAACATGTTCAGACCTGTGTGTGCCTGGTTTGGCAAGATGGCTCATGTGCTGCTAAGCAGAATATACAGCACTGGAATTTTGCCCTAAGACACTAATTTGTGTCTCTCTTCTCTACCCAGCCACATATTTAAAAAAAAAAAAAAATTACTAGAATATAATGAAGTCTGACATCTCCACTGCCACATTTAGAGAAATAGCTAAATCTGACTCAAAGGCAATAAATAATGTACTAATAAGACCCTGGCAAGGCTTTCAAGTGTATAATACTATTGAAGTTGGGGTTTTGGTTTTTTTAACTACTTTCTGTGATTTCTAGAGATTGGACTTTGACAGGGAGTGGTGCTGCTGTCACGTACATGCAATATAATATTTTTTCTTCCCAGCTAAAGGAAAAAGTCATCTGTGCAGTGAAACATTCAGGACTGCCCTTTTCCAACATTTTCATGTACACATAAGGTTATTTTCACGTACACATGAGGCTATTTCTGATTTTTGCTTCAGGTTCAGTGACAGCTTTGGAAAACAAAGATAAAGTGGAATTAAATTAATGCCATGGGCTCTGTGTCTCTTTTACAGAAGAGCTTTCTGGCTTTCCTTGTTGCAACGGGCACGATAGTGACACTGGCCAATGCATACTGCTTTTTTAAAAGGAATAAACCAGGGGAGCCTGAAAAGGTAAGGACAGAGAAGGTCCTCTCATTTGATTGTTCAGAACAAACATTGCTCAGCTCTATGTGGACCTGCCAGGAAGGGCTCGAAATACAAGGAAGTGGGGGAGGTGTCAGAAAGACATGAATAAGAGGTACCAGAATCAAGTTTCCAAACATAGGTAAAAACAGTGTCTTTCCTTGGACTGCCTATGGTTGCTGTTGGTTGTGGGCTGCTATTTCTATTCCAGCACATGGAGCTGATGCTGGAGTTGGGAGTAGTTCTGAACAAAGTGTGGTGCCAGGTGGCAGACCTGGCTGTTTAGTTGCTCACTTTAACCCCAGATCTGTCACACAGTGAAGTGAAGAACAAGTAAAGAAGAAACAGTTCAGGCTCTCAAAATAGTAGAGGTAGTCACTTGGAGAACAAAAAGACTTCTACTTTACTATTACCAAGAAAAACATTTTCATAAAACTTGCAAATCATTTTTAAGCTTTCCAGCCTTTATGTGGAGGCTTAAAGAACATATTTTGTTTTGCTACTGTCTTATGCAGGCTGTATCCTAGATGGAAAACTGTACCCCTTTGGAGAGACTCCAAGGACAGAAGGCTATTTGAGATGCAGCTGCAGCCCAGATGTAATGCATTGCTGCTCCCTGTAAGTTTGAACTTCTTGGTGGTATCATTGCCCATAGGAAGACCACAGCTTTTCAGTGGCTGGGAGTAAATGAGTTTCTACTGGCACAAGAGAGCATTTCCTCACCCTTGTCACAGAGCTAGGGCAAGTCACATATAGCTCTTGATCATTTGGATACTTGGCTGCTGACTGGGCCCTTCCAGACACATCCAGTTGGTGCTTGCCTTTAATTCTGAGCAACTTGTGAACCCCTCTTACACTGCAGTTAAGTCTTTCCTTAGCAGGGAAAGTAGGGGTAGGAAGAAATTAATTCCACAAGGGACTTAAGTGGAGCTACTTTTGATGATTTGAATCCCTTTCCGGTGATGCTTTTCTCCAGTGAACATGCTGACTCTAGGGTGACAAGGCTCTGCTCTGAAGTATCCATCTCCAACATCCTCCTTCCATCTTATCCTACCTTCTCAAATGGCCAAAATGGCTTGATTATGATCTGCCTTTGCACACATGACACTCAATCTGTCTGGAAACAGTTACTACATTCTAACCAAACTGGCAGTGATGAAAAATTAATGGAGGAGATAAAACATCCTTAGACCACACTTACGTCACACTGTAGATTGCTGTGCTAGAAATCCCTATGCTAGTGCTGAGCATACTGGTACACCTACACAGCGCAGTGCAGCAAGGCATCATTAGAGGCCCCGAGAGCTGTAGCTGTCTGACACTCAAACTAGCTAGGCTGGTCTTAGCCATTGTTTCAAAGGTATCTCACTCAGCACTAGTTCAAGCTATAATCTTTGAACCACTGGAGTATTGAGGCTTTTATTGTTCTCAATCTTATAGCTGCTTTCTCTTTGCCAGTGACAACTTTTATACTCCTGTTAATTATGACAAAAAGAACTGTAAAGTCATTTTTAACAACAAAAGCTGTGACTATGACATGGTGTGGAAGGATGACCCCTCAAAGGAGTGCTTTGTCTATTCTTGTGTGGCCTAACAACCTACCTGCTCTGAGCCACTCTGCACTGTGGAATTCCTCCCCTTTCTACAGATGCTTTGTCACTACAGAGAAGCTTGAAGACAGGCAAGATCTTTTAAGAGAGAGTACTTCAGCAGCTCATTTTAAATCTAATTGTTCTAATTATTGATTCTAATTCATTATACAAGATGCATAATCAGATATAATGTCTTATTTCTATCATTACTTACATTGGTATCACTGAGATTTTTTGAATACAATAAACCCAGATGAAACATCCAAAGATGCTTCATAATGATGATTCTTTTTATGTAATATCACTGGGAAATATCACCTTCTTTGAGAAAGGAATTAATTTGCTTCACTACACTGACATGCCATGCACCAGTGCCTTGTCACAAGCTGCTCTCACGCTTTGCAGGTTCTGTTCTAGCCAAGGATCAGAGCAGGTATTTAGCTCACCAGGTGTCAAAATCCATTATCATTTGGAAGGGATGCACTGTTTGGGACATGCTGTACAATAGCTCCTACTCAGGACACAAATTACTGCAGAAGTTTTGGCAAGACCTGTGCTGCTAACACCTATGCCCTCTGATAAAAAGGTGGGGATGGAAGATCTGCAGTTAACTGTTGTATGGTTTGAAAAGAAATACACCTTCCAGAACAGTGGACTGTTTAACCATGTTCCATAATCACAAGTCTGTGTCTTGTAAAAGTACAAGGTTACACACAGCTGAGCATTCTTAAGGCAGGGATCCCCACTTAACCCAGAATCAATTGTCAACCTCTATTTATTCAGCAGGGGTAGAGGCTTCAAGGCAGCCTGTCTCAGGCTCTGCAGGCCATCAGTAAAATCAGAAGAATTTAACTTGGTATGTTTTTCCTGGCTTTATTTTTGGTAATTTGCCTGTGAATGTTGTTTTAAACTTTCTTATGGCTTCACTTAAGATACCGTTTTTGTGGGGGAAAAAAATCCAAGCATTTTGCAAGCACTGGTATTACATACTTCACCTTTAAAAGTTCTCTGTACTACAGGATGGATATCTGTCAACTTGCATTAATCCATCTGTATGATGGATATTTTTTAATCCAACTTTTAAAAATAAACATTTTCATGGCTAAAAAAAAAAATTACTTGGAGGTTCCTCATAGATTATTTTTTAATTTGAACCACTGAGAAGTACATACATCAAGATTACCATCCAGTTTGGTGTAGTCTCGAACTGTGTCATGTAATACTGGGATTGTTTCAGTATTCCAAGTTTTTCCCTACCAGAGTCTTACAAATTAAGACTACGTTTTTATCCTGGAACTTACGAAAACTAGTTTCTTATCTCATAAGGTCACCTTCATGTTCTTCATGCAACTACAGTGTAGGTGGGGTATAAACAGAATGAAATGAGCTTTCCCCAAAAGAAGACCAGGAGCTGCTGAACTACATAACTGACAGTATAAAATTGAAATTAAGCCTCCTTTCATATTGCACATGCACTAGCAGGTTGTTTTAAAGATGGAAGACTGCACAAATTTGGTACCACCTGAAGAACCTAGAGCACGCTTGCAATGCCAGCACAGCGTCCACTGTTACACTATGTAAGTTCCATGAAGCCAGAGGCACCAGTGGCAAGAACTACAGCAACATTCCCACCCACCACCCTTCCTAAGGTGACTCCATCAGTCATGCCTCCATTAAGAAGTCTTTACTTTTTCAGAGGCTTAATACCTTCATTTGTATAATCAGCTGCAGGGAGGGCTGGGATAAAAAGAAAACAGATTCACTGTTTTCTCATTTCTGGAATAAAATTTTTTGCCATTTTCTGGTTCACTGAAGACTTCCAAGATGTATTTGGTTACCAGATGGCTTGAGTTGAAAATTAGAAGTGTAGGAAATACTGTATTTCCCATAAATTGGAGATTCCAATTTTGGTTAGCTCTGTGTCTCCTATCCATTCTGTTTTATTGACCCTGTACTTCTGTCCTCACTGCTATTAGTATCTGTGGCTATCTTCCTCAGTGCTACCCACACTGCAGAGGGGGAGACCTCCTCCTTACAAACACAGCCTGGCATTTGGAGTTGGCTCTTCAGATCTTCCTGTGTGTCTCTTGCTGAGCACTGATCCTTCATCTGGGGATCATGTTCCACAGAACTAAACAGGGGAAAAACCAAAGTGTTTCTCATCTCATTGAAATTGCATTGAATTAAAACTGAAATTTAGCCCAGGGATGCGTGCTATGCTACATATGGAAGGAGACGAAGGTGTTCAAATCCAGGGAGAAATGACATTGTTGTTTCCAGCTTGGGCCTCCCAGATTGAATTGAAACCTCAGCTCAAATTTCTGCTGTGCCACACATTACCTAGAAAAAGTCACTCATATCATCTGTGCCCCTTGCCTGTAAAATTAATACAGCTCTCTGCTATTCCTATACCAGGAGAGATATGAGGACATAAACTTGAGGTTTGTGGGTATATGAGCCTCAGAGATAACAAAAATGTTCCCACCAAGATAAGCCTTCCTTCTACCACATTTACAGTAGGTTTCTGTGTCAACAGTGCACCATGCCTAGTGTTGTTTGCTTGTGCTTTTCCTTAAAATGGTTGTCCTTTATCACATGCAAATGTGTCAGACTTCATTTAACAATTGTAGAACCATTGTATATTATACACAACGTTGTCAGTTTATGGTCAAGACAAATTTATTTGTAAAATTGTGTTTACTTACAATCTGTGAGTGATATGCCTCATAGTTCCTCTTGCTTTCCCCATCTCAATAGTATTACCAGTCAACCTACTGGTTTTAATGACTGGATACATGAACTCCTGCCATAAGGAGTCCTGCACTTATTCTCATCTGTAGAAAGTGGATCCCTTTCAAGAATGAGTAGTTCTGAAATGCTGGGTTAAGGAAACAAGGTTCCTAGACTGCTTTCATTCTAGTTCATCTATTCTAGCTTTAGGTTCTTCGTAATGTTTTTCATAGATATTAGCTAGTTTGTTGAGTTTTTTTCAAATAACATTACTGCTCTGAAATCATGCTGTGTTTCTGTTGATTGCCAGTACTGAAAGATACAGAAAACCCAAGGTTGGTAATCTTGCATTACTTATGAGCCACAGGGTTGTGGTATTAGTAATCTCTTGTTTCAGGGCAGTGCCCACATCAGCATTGCCAAATCTAACCTATTAGTGATAGGCTGATTGTGCACAGCTTTATCAAAACTGTGAACACCTGCAAGCACTTCAGGGCCTTTCTGACATCCTGAAGGAAGATCTGGTAACTGAAGAAAAACAGATGTACCCAACCTACTGAGCTGAAAAATCAGCCAAAGCTGTCCCTGTGAGTGGTGGTCTCACTGTGACCTGCACTGCAATAACGCTGGCTCACATGGACTTCCTGAGATAGCTCTCAACTCTGGAGCTGGGTAGAAGATGTGAAGTAGCCACCCCAGCTTGGAGTTCAACTTCTACTCCCAAACCCACACAATAAGGCTACACAACTAGGCAGAGTAGTTAGATCAGGTATTGCAGACTGTGCAGCCTTGGTAATAAGGAGAAGAATTCTCCACCTATCAGGGCTACACAGTTTGAAATATTTGAACCAACTAGATCAAAGCTAAGCAAATGGGGACTGTCCTTGACTCCTTTGATATCAAATTACTGTCCTAAGCACTTGGAAAGCGTGTCTGCCCCTGAAATGTACAGAAATGTAGAAAAGGGACCATTTCTTCCTGGCTACAAGGATTAGGGAAGAAAATATATAATGCCTATTTTTTTCCATAGAGGACCGCAGTATATGGGTCTTCTACATGATGGAAAATGAAGAAAGAAGAAAATTATTATCGAGAACCCTTTTCTAAGGGCCTACAGATGCCAGCCACTCTCCCCATAAACCCTGCTTTAAGTTTAACTCTTCCAAGCACCACTCCTTTTTCACAAAATCTTTCTTTCATCTTGGGCTGATGAGCAAGAAAGCTGAACGACTGTTCAAAGTTTCGCTCTTAAAACCTAGATAGTTAAAACAAAGCATGCAAATTTTCATGTGCATGACAACTGTGTCTCTAATGAGTTTCTCAGAGCAAGTGCTAAATAATCTTTCCAGGCTTAAAATTCCTTTTGAAGTACCTTCCATAACTCCTTGTAGATATGGTGTGACATAAAAGCCACACCTATTCTTCAGTGCCTGTCAGAACCAAACCTTCCTGCATATAATTGGCTTATTTTAGTAACGTCCACCCCATGAGATCATCTTGCAGAAACCTCATTGGAGTTATTCATGCATGTTCAGTTTGCTCAAGGACTTGTATCATAAATTCCCGCTCTATATAAATTCTCTGAGGAGATGAGATTCCTAGAGGCTGTCTCCTTACTGGAAGCCTTCTAATTCTGCAAGAATGGTGAGTTCTTATGTCTTACACTGCAAGAGACCGTGGTATGTTTCTATAGATTTAAAGGAGGTTCTGTTGGATTTATGTCAGTACTTGGAAATCTGAGAAACTTGGAGAAAGTTCTGTGTTTGTGTATTTTTAAGAGCAAGAGTCAGACAGATAGGCACAGGCAGGTACCTTTTACCTTGGGTAGAAGATCAGCATGTATACAGCAGGAAATGTCTAATAGGACTCCAACTAAGACTTTTTTTATTATAACCTGGTGTTGCTTACATCTAGGATTTAGAGATAATGTCTTTTCTGGCAGAAAGCAGCTCTGTTGTGTCTCAGCCTAGACACGGCCTTCATATTTGTGAAAAGTCTGAATAACATCTGAACATTCAGTTAAACTCAAAAATATTACCTTGATTTTTACTCATTTGTAGTTCTGTGGGTTTTAACCTCTCTTCCGCAGAATAAGATGTTAGGTTTTGCTCCTCTCATCTCTCAGGTATGACTTCTTTTTACAAGTGTCTAGTTCTACTCTGTCCAAAACAGCCACATATACACAGTATGTGTGTGTACATGTGTCATTGTTATTCCTGGTCCATCTTTCCTCTTTCACCAAGACTTACATTCATCACAACTAATACTATCC